TCTTCTGACTACCGCGTGGGGCCCTATGAACTGACACACCCCCCCAAAATGTCTCCTTCAAATGCAGTCAATTATTTCAAGAGATCACCTTGTCTGTGACCAGAAGAAGAAAAGAGCAAGGCAGAGCTAGGACATGGCTGCTAAGCAGGTTGCTGGCATCACTCACTGCCTCTGTAACTAGTACCCACATCCCAGCTTCAAAAGGACAGCAAACCAATTCATGCCTCAGAAAAGTGATTCATTGCTTCAGAGTCTCAAAGTATGGTTTTTGGAGCAGCGGCATCACATTATCCAGGAGCTTATTAGAAATGCAGACTCTCAGTCTGCAACCTAAGCCCTACTGAACCAGAATCTGCATTTCAACAACATCCCCCGGGCAATTCATACTCATAGTAAAGTTTGAGAAGCACAGGAATGGAGAGGTTCTCAACCTTGCCTGCTCATTAGAATCACTGGGGTGGTGGCTTTTTGTGGGGTTTTGGGGGGTTTTTAAGTTTTTTTTGGAAAGAATTTCAGAGGTACAGTAAAGTTGCACAAATAGTCCAGAGAGCTCCCATGTACCCTTCACTCAGCCTTCCACATGTACATCACCATTGTACAAATAAGAAAATGAAGGTATTAACATTGGTGAAATACCATTAATGTAGCCTCAGTCTTTATTCAGATTTCACCAGTTTTTCTCCTAAAGTCCCTTTGTGTGTGCATGGGGGTGAGGGGGGGAAATTAAGTTTATTTATTTTTATTTTATTATTATTATTATTTTTTTAATGGAGGTACTGGGGATTGAGCCCAGGACCTTCTGCATGCTAAGCACCCACTCTACCACTGAGCTACACCCTCCTCTTTCTTTCCTTCTTTCTTTTTTTTTTTCAGGAATCAATCCAGGATCCCACATTTAGGTGTCATTTCTAGCTAGTCTTCTCCAATCTATCCTCAGTCTTTCTTTATGACCTTGACATTTTTTAAGAGGACTAGTCAGTTGTTTTATAGGATATTCCTCAGTTTGGTTTTGTCTTTTTTCATGATTTGATTAAGGTTATACATTTTTGGCATGTACTCACAGGGAGTACATGATGTTAATATGGCTTATTACTGGTGATGTTAACCTTGACTGCTTGGTTAAGGCAGTGTCTTCACTGTAAAACTACCATTTTCCCCCTTATAATTAATAACTTAGGGGAGATACTATGACACTATGTAGATATTCTGTTTCTCCTCAAACTTTCATCCATTAATTTTTGCATCTATTGGTGGATATTACTTGCAACAATCATTGCTAGTGGTGATTTTCTATGTGTTAATTGAAATTCTGTAAGGAAGAGCTATTCCTTCTCCACCATTTGTGGAGATTTGTGATATATCAGTATGGACTCATGGAAATTTATTTTATTCTATTGTTTTTTATTTTGTTGCTCAAATTGTTCCAGCTTTGGCCATTGGCAGCTCTTTCAGACTCTCTCTTTCCTTATTATTTTTATTAATAGGTTTCTTATTTGGGGAATAATTTTAGAAAGAAAGAAAAACTATAGACAGTAAGTAGACAGAGTTTTTATACACCCTTCCTCAGCTTTCCCTAATGCTAACATCTTATATAGTCATGATACATTTGCCAAAACTAAGAAACCAACACTGGTACATTACTATTAACTGAACTCCAAACTTTATTTGGATTTTGCCAATTTTTCCACTAATGTCCTTTTTCCATTCCAGGATCCAATTTTGGACACTAGTTGCATTTTTACCCCCATCCTTTTTGAGCACTTTCTTCCTTACCACAAGATCCTCCAGACTTGTATTTTCTCTTTCCTGTTATGGAATAAACCACTTCTCTAAGGAGCCCCACCCAGGAAGTTTTTGGTAGGGGGGAATCCCAAAGCCCAGGCAGCACCCTAAGTGAAGTCAGATCTCTGTCTGTGAAATTCTGGCATTTGGACTTTTAAAACCTCCCCAGGTGATTCCAATGTGCCTTTGAGTTTGAAAACCACTGATCTCAACCTTACTTCTGGTAGCTGAAGAATAGTTAAAACTATGAATGATAAATTCCCAAACGTCAAAGGCCTAAGTGTACTTTCCAGCAGGTTCTTACATTCCCTGAAGACAAGGGGCTCTGCTTTGTTCATCTCTAATTGCATCTAACCCAGAACCTGGCGCACAGCAGGTGCTCAGAAATGCAGAATGAATGAAAACTAACAGGTGAACCAAATCTTGGTTCCTGAGTGACATTAGCCTCGGCCTGACTTCTTTTTTCCTAATCCCTGTCTATCTCACATTTTGTGCTGCTCTGAGGTTGACGCTGAACACCTGTATCCTAAAATCTCAAGGCAGCACCACGGAAAAAACATAACGGCTACCCAGCACGAAGCCCTGGGGCAAACTTTCCAGGCAGAAATTCTTGCATCTCCTCCCTGACATCTCGCTGGCTTCCCCTGACTGCTCCTGCTGTCAGCTCCCTCATTTGGGTCCTCTTCTGCCACTTTTATCTCCAACCACTGCTATCGCAAATGTGTCAGAAAAGGTAGCCACATCTTTATTCCTTTTGCTTTGTCCCTCCAACCTCTTTCTGGCCTGCTTCAATGTCTCAGCTTCTTCTGCAGGGAGGTATAAAGGGCACAGGCTCTTTAGCCAGCCAGACCAGAGTCAAATCCCAGTCCCCTGACTCATGAGATGTTATACTTGGGCAAATAACTGAACCTCTCTGAGTCTCTGTCCTAGGGTATAAAATGGGGATTATAATCACCTACCTTGCAGGATGGATGTGAGAAGTCAAGAGAACATTTTTGCTGATCTAGAGCACAGTGTGTGCTCATAAATGGCAGTTGTGATGGTCATTGTTATTATTACTATAATTAATGCTATCAATAAGTATTATTATTAATTTCATCAATAATTATTATTTATTATTATTAGTAGTAGTAGTAGTATTTTTGTTGATACTAATTATTATTATTTCTAGAGGGAATCGTTGAACAGGACAAGGCAAGGCAAATGAATTCTATAAAAGAGAGCAAGAATGCTACCCATCTGTCCCAGGGATCTAGGGTAAGTAATAGAAGTTCATTTAGAATTTCCAGAATTCATTGCAGGCTCCTACATAATCCAGAGGAAATGATCAAAACTGCATAAAGGCGACCTCAGCTAACGCAATTATCTGCCGACACCACATCTGTTTGCATAACCAACAGATGATAAGTAACCTGGGGTGGGCACGCTGACATCTTCACAGTGCCTTTGCATCATCTCTTGTGACACCTCCCAACCTCAAAGTGGCTATTTTGACAATTTTACAGATGAGAAAACTGAAGTGATGTGATGTGAAACTGAACTAGCAAGTGATAAAAGCCAAAACTCACACAAAAGTCTTTCTGGCTCTGACATCTTTGTGGTTTCCATCACTTTTTTTTTTTTTTTTTGGTTGGGGGAGGGTGGGGTAGGTTTTTTCTTTTTTTTCCCCTGTGTAAATTTACAGGTGTCAGAAGAGCACATTATTAACCTCTGGGTCTGTTTAAAATAGTTTTCAGGAAAAGGCTTAAAATATTGGACTGCCTCATCGAAGAAAATGTTAAATTAAAAGAGGGGTGAAGGGGATCAAAAAGTATAAATTTCCAGTTATAAAACAAATGTCATGGGTACGACACATTTGAAAGCTGCTAAGAGAGTAGATCTTAAAAGACTTTGTCACAAGAAAAAAATGTGTAACTATGTATGGTGACAGCTGTTGACTAGACTTACTACAGTGATCATTTCATAATACATACAAATGTCAAATCATTATGTTGTACATCTGAAACTAACATAATGTTATATCTCAATTATATCTCAATTTAAAAAAAATAGGGAGAAAATGCTGACCTTTCCCCCTCTCATTCGGTCTCCCTATCTTCTCCCTCTGGCTTAGTGGAGGAGTGTTTTCCTGGCAACTTGTTTGTCCCACCAACTAATCAATTGGTCAACTAACTAACCAGTCAACCAACATGCTTAGCCTATGGTAAGGGCTGTGGGGACACCAGGAAAGATGCCCAGGCCCTGTCTTCAGACCTTCAGTGCAGGAAACAGAAGTAAATCACCGAAATAGAGTGCATGTGGTCAAGGGTAAAAGGACAGAGGTCTGGAAAGGGTCTGTAGGTGCAGGGACCCATCTGGAATCATGATGGGAAGATGGGTTTGGGATGGAGTAAGGGACTGGAGATTTTCTGGTGGGAAAATACAATAAAGGCCAGGAGGAGGAAATGAGGGTATAACATGCCAGCCGTGAAGACTCCAGCTGCATGTGGCCCATACTTGTCTCCAAGGAGTAGTGAGAAATAGGATTGGGGCTTGAATATAGAGGGTCATGAAAAAAACAGCAGATCTGAACATCATGTGCTGAGACATGGAGAACTGTGAAGGGTTTTCAGCTAGGCAGGCATAGATTTGGTTTTGAAGTCAGTTCTAGACATTTGCTAATTACCCTGGCACTGATTTGTTACCTGATTTAAACTTACACTAGAATATGTAGTTCTCAGTGTTAAAAAAGAAAAGAAAGAGAAAAAATACTCTAGACTCCCATCAACACTGCCAAGTGCCCACTACCTTAGAGTATTCAAATGAGAAATATCTCTTAAATGTGATTCGACAGGAAGACACATCAAAGGCTAAGGAGCTGCGATTTTGAAACAATAAAACATGTAGATGCAAGCAGCCAAGAGTGGAACAGAGAAACTTAAGTAATCTTACCGGCAGACAAAATGCCCCAAACCAATTTTTTTTTAAATGGTACGAAGTACTTGACTGCTACGTTTTCTGCAATGACCACAAGAGAAATCCAATTTTTAAGACTTGTACCCAATATTAAGGTTGCAAATTATGTCTTTTTATTCACATGTATTTTGTTAGATAGAGGATTTTTTAAAACAGACATAAGATGTTCGATGCATATACTGACACCTCAAACCCCAGGAAAGTATTTTTCACCTTCTTAACCTATATTTGAGTCCCAGACTATTGGCCAGATTCATACTTACCTATGAGCAAACAAGGAATCAAGGCGCAGGAAAACCACATGATAAGACTTGTCGAGATTTCTTCCAGAACCATCGTGAAGGACTGTGTTTGGCAGACTCAATTTGACCTGGAACGTTGTTTCCTTCCAGAATGAAGCACTCTGTCCATCTCAGCCATTCTTGCTTTGGAACACAGATGTTGGACCTGAGGTCTGAGTCGCTGTAACACCTGAATCACTCTGAAAAGAAGTGCCAGCCCAGACAGCTTAGAAGAGGCGGGCTGTGAAGCACTCTCCTTTCTGCCCAAACCCACGTATTGCATCAGGGGGAGTGGCCTCGAAGAGTTCCAGAGAAAGGGCAGCTCTGGGGAACTTATGAATGTGCATGGGGTAGATACCTGGACCATAGGCTCTGACCTTGAGGACCCTGCTGGTCCCTAGAGGACCCCTTGGTAGTGAGAAGGCAAGATTATTTGATCCTCTCATCAGATAGCTATTGTCTTCCAAGTCTCCCTCTTGTGAGTACATTCAAGCTGGGTACTGATCAGCTCTTTTTGCTACATCCCTACTTCAGAAAAAGTAAAGTTAAAAAATTTTTTTAAATATTTTTCAAAAGTCAAGAGATGAAGAATACATAACTTCATATTTGCTTGCATGTGCAAAAAGAAAATATGGACCGAGATAGAACAATTACCAAGATTATTTACCTTGGGGCAAAGAGAGTAGGGATTGGGAAGACGGAGGAGGTAAACGGGGACGAGACTCTTTGCAGTATCTTTTGTTTGAGGATTTAAAAAATTGTTTTTATTGTGGTAAAATACACATAAGATAAAATTTACCATCTTAACCATTTTTAAGTATACAGTCCAGTGGTAGTAAATACATCCAAATTGTTGTGTAACCATCACCACCATCTGTTCCCATAACTCTTTTCATCTTCTAAAACTGAAACTATATTCAATAAAGAAGAACTCCCCCTGCTTCCCTCCCCCCAGCCCCTGGCAACCACCATTATACTTTCTGTCTTCATGATTTTGACTACTCTAAGTACCTCATAAGTGTACTCATGCAGCACATGTCTTTTGTGACTGGCTTATTTCACTTAGCATAATGTCCCCAAAGTTCATCCATTTTGTAGCATATTGCAGAATTCCCTTCCTTTTAATGGCTGAATAATATTCCACATGCCACATTATGCATATCCATTCATCCATTGATGGGCATTTGAGGTGCTTCTACATTTTAACTATTGCTTTCAATTCTTGTGGTGCTGTGTATCTTTTTATACTGTTTGATTAAAGGAGGAGTGTGAGTGTGTTCCTGGAGAAGATCCACATTTAAGGACCAGCACAAGAAAAATGAAATAGGAAGATATAAGGGGAAAAAAATAGGTCAGAGAGGTGGTCCTGGGACAAACTATGGTCCTGGAAATGATGAAGCATGGAGTGATCATCAAGGGGGGTGCAGAAGAGTCACTGAATCAATCACTGGAAAATGTCTCTTGGATTTATGTTACCTAGAAGATCATTTGTAATCTCAGTAAGAGGAGTTTCCGCAGAGAATTTGGATCAGAATCCAGATGGTTGTAGGTTGAGAAGTGGATGAGAAAAGCAGTGCTCTTTTGATGTGATGGGGAAGAAAGCAACTCCATGAACCCCATTTTTATAAAATAGATACAATGTCTTGTATAATAGTTGTGGGAATTAAAGAATGCAGACAAAGCACATCAGCACAGTGCCAGGAACACAAGTCTTCACAAATGCTGTATTAACCATTTGTCATATAAATAATATTAACTATTACTTATTAATTAGGGCTTATTTGCTCTGACTGGCCCTTTGCAGGCTAACCATCTTTCAGTTTGGCCCCTGAATCAGCAAAGGCTTCTGGTTGGAGATACCCATTAGAGGGTAGTCATTAAAAGCATGGACTCTGGAGCCAGACTGTCTGGATTGGCATTCGGGCTCTTCCAGTCACTAGTTGTGGTTTTGAACAATTGTTTTAGTGTCCTCATCTGTATATTGACCTCATCATGGTCAAGAACACTTGGTGCATGCTCTCCTTGATCCCTGAACTCCATACACATTTCCATATATTATGTAACTTTTTAAATGAGGACACATCTGAAATTTACTTACTGTAGATCTTAGAGCTAGTCGGGGATGGAGACAGGCATTCTGACAGAGATCTGCCTAACTCCAAGTTCTTTTCACTCACCTTACTGCCTTCCAATTAGCACCAAAGGAGGGCTCACAATGTGTTTGAGGGACATAAAACAGTGAGTGAGTGATCTAGAAGATTAACAAAAGGTTTAGATAACAGACAGACCTCAATACGGAATTCCAAGGATGTATCCATTTAGATTTGGATAGAAGAGATGAGTTTGTAGTTCAGCATTCCAACTGGGCGAATGGCATGGGCAAGGCCCAAGGATGGAAATGTTGAAGGGAAAATAGACTAAGGATGAAAACGAAAAGGAAAGTAAACAGAAAATGGGAGAAAGATCAAGATTCATTTAGTTATGCTACGGGGGAAGAAGGAAAGTTGTTCACCAAAACTCGAGGTCTTAAGATAGTTAGCTCAACTAGGCCTAGGTCCCCGTCAGGATGCCCCTGCCCAGAACTGCCATGTTGACAAGGCGATACTGCCTGCCAACTCTTCACAAGCCACTGCAAGGAGTCTCTGTCCTGGGCTCAGCACACCTCTAAGGGCACTGAAGGGTAATGCTACCTGCCTGCCACAAGCTTTTGAATGACAGTCCCTCTCAGGACTGGCTGATGAATCAACAAGGCACTCAAACCAGCCACCTCTGCAGGAGCCATGCCATTGAGTGAGAACTTCTTAAGGGCTATACCTCACCTGCTAGCCTCTACCCTTGCCTGGACATCCCCAACTCTGATCTTGCCTTTCTCTTCTGGCTTTGAGGAATTTCTCTTTCTATACACTCTCATCAGCTGGTTGTGATCTTTTGTCTGTGCAGCATGCCAAAACCAAACTATCCTAACCTGCTGCCTGCATCAATTTCCACTGCCTTCCAGAGCTGAAGATGATCAATCATCCATGTATGCAGATGCACTGGTGGAAGAATGAAGCTATTTCCTAACATAAGGTAGTCTAGAAATATGAATTTTTTTTCCTGTTACACTATTTGCCATTAATTATGGAAAGAAAAGGAGACACAAGGTTTTCATGGAAAGGTACAGAGTAGGGAGGGATAAAGGAGGTTGATGGTCAAGGAAGACTCCTAAGCTCTCTGAGCCCCATAAGGTTGGGACTAGAATTAAGCAAGAGAGGCACCAGGGCAAAAAATTTGAGGCACTCACTCTTAGAGTTGTGCAAGTGCAGGGTAGGTCCTGGTGCTGACATGGACTACATGGTTAATTAATTTCAATAACCCTTCCTTGTCCTACTTAAAACAGAATAGTTCTCTTCCCTTTACCAAGATTCCTAAATATCTATGCCCTGTGTTTTAGCATCTGACATTTAATTGTAACCCGCTCTCAATTTTTTTTTCCTGGAAGTAACACAACACAGGGTATTTAAACAGTAGCATTCTCCTTGTCTTAGATTCTTCTAACTCCCACTTCCACTGAATCTGCTCCAGGTATCACTTCCACAAACTTTCAAGCCCTGGTTTTCAGGTTTCTTGCAGCCCTTCTCTGAACATATTTTACTTTTTCAGTTTCCTTCCTAGTTTATTGTCTGGCCACCAGTGAAGAATTTAACCTCCCTTAATCTCAATTCTTTCCTTAGGGTGTGATGAATGAAAACCCTTGTCTGTCCAGCTGTCCTTCTTCCTATAGTTGTAACTGGCTCTTTTCTATGCGACATTCTCCCAACAACTCCCCTTAAGATGGAGAATCAGGCCTTACTCAGAATTGCACTTTGTAGTTAAAAGTTCCACATTTAAATAAAACAAATACCATTTTATTCAATCTTCAAATTTGAAAAATAGAAACAATATTCTGTAATAGTGAAGATCTTAATGTAATGTTCAAATGATTTTGGTTGCTGTATTTTCACTTTCACTCATTTAATCCTAGTCATCAGTGATTTTATTAAGTGAAGCATACAATGTGCTCAAGACCAATTTAACCAGACCATCCTATACAAATTAACACCCCGCTCTCACTCTCCAACCCCTCATTCTGTTTTTTCTTCATAGCAATTCTCCATCAGGCATAACACCACTAGAAATGTAAGTTTTACGACAGCTTTTGGATGACTTTGTCCGTTTTCTTCACTATCATATTGCTAGATTGGTCCAGCACCTGCGCAAATATTTGAGGTGAGTTGGTTGGATGCTGATAAATGTCTCCAAAAGCTGAACAGACACAGGATCATACACATAGATGTAACAGAGAAAACATACTTTTCTTATCAATACCAAGTAATTAGTATATGCCCTGATGAAAACAGTATTTGTTTTCTATATCCTCTTACCTATAGTCTAGAAAACATACCAAAACAAGTAAAGGTTTGTCATTACTTGTTCTGAGAAAAGGCATGCTTATTCAGGGATTAATTTCTCTTACAAGTGTTCAAAAAATATCAATAACCATGCCAGTGTTCAACCTAAAACAGACAGCACTTCAGTCTCATTCTGGAATCCACCTATCCCCGTAATTTCCCCAAAGCTATTTGCAAATTTTCTACAGAGTTTAAGATATTATCTTAGCCTAGAGATTTATTTAAAGCAATTATCTTAACTACCTTAGATGTTTATTTTTGTCTAGTTTTAATGTTTGTTTTCCTGTTTGAAAGTCATTATCATTCCATGAGGTACAAGAAAACACAGAGAGAGAAAATTGAGTACTCTTTGTCTTCTGCAGCTGTAACTACAAATAAAACTTGCAACGTTATTCCAAAATAGTGAGACCAGCTTTTCCATGAGCTTTAAAAACAGCTTAAGAAGTAATTTGAGTGGAAAACATTTAAAAATCAGCCAGTCCTAAGTAAATTAAATGTTTGCGCTAAGCCATTGCAGGCATTGCAGGCCAATTCTGATGTTTCTGAGATAGTGAAAGTGCTCTGGCCAACAAACATATTCTCAAAAAAGACACTTTGGTTTAAAATATTTACCTCTGAGAACACGGCCAATGATAACTAAAACTCCTACTCCTGCTCTTCAAAACCTCACCATACCCAATTTATGTTCTACTTATTAAACAAGTCTCAGCAAACTCTATATACTTTCAAAAGAATCACTCATTAGTAAACTAGGAAAATACATTTCAGTTCTTCAGTCATTTGGTTTTAGGTCATGTAGCAGCAAGAAACTGAGGTGTGCAGTATGCATAGCATTCTGGTTTGTAAGCGTTTAGAAGTTGAGTCATATAAACTTGCTTAACAAAAAGAACCAGTTTATCAGAAGAGAGGAGCTCCTACACCTTGCCTTGCAATAGAATAAAATATTGGTTTTCCACAGCTGTAATATGGCATTTTCAAAAAGTCCACTGGATGCTATTCCAAACATAAAACGAGGAAGTCATCTACCCTTTATCAAATGTGCTTTGTTAGAAGTGACTTCAGTTGTGAAGCCATTCGAAAACAGTTAAAGGATACAAGATTACAAAGGATCCCTTTATCTTCCAGCAAAATGTGAAAGTGGGAACATTAAAGCATGCTGTAACGCTACATTGCTAATTCATTGACATGTTTCTGAAAAGTGAATTTCCAGATTCCAAACCAAAAACTCCAAGTTACAGGAAAAACAGGAAGTAACAGTAACTGCACTTGGAGATTTGAACTAGGGAGATAAAGGATGGGAAAGAGACTTATTTACACTAGTTTAACTTTTTTTACCTAGTGCATTGGTAAAAATAAAAGGACCATCCGTACTACCTGGTAGTCACTTTGCAGGAATTCAAATTCAGTATTATCAGCTTCTCATTTTTCAGGAGAAACCAGAACTCTGAGTTTTATGTGAAATATCTCGATTTTTAAATGTTAACAATTTATTTTTTTAAGCAGTGTGTGTTGAACTGCATTCCTATTTGGTTGTATCTTGAGCAGGGCACCTTGCAAGATAGGGGAAGGGTAGTGGTGGTAAGCTTTGGGCTTCAAAACAACAAAAGTGGCTGTGCTTGCCAGGGGAAGAGGTGCCTTTTCCTGATTCTCACAAAGGTACCCACACAGATGGAAGTGGCCCTGCTTCTTGCAATCTTGGATTAGATGACAGAATTAAAGCATTAACACTGGAGACAACTTATATGCCATTAATCTGTCCACATATCCATGAGGATAACATTCTAACAACTCAAGTTGCTCATCTGCTAGGCTTTCTATTCTTCCAGCAATGGCAATGGATCGCACTTAGGCCTCCTATTTTATTAAGTGATGTATCTGTGACACGCTACCTTTAATAGTGCCAGGTGCCTTGTGTTCCTGTGTATCAATGATGTGTGAACATTCAGCTGAACTTAAGGACTTATGACCAAGTAACAGATACAGCAGCAATGGCTTTCCGTTGCTGAGTTTATGTAATTCCAAGATTTGGAGAAGTTATTTGTAGATGTGGTTTGGGTAGGGAAATGTGTGTTATGAAATTTAAATTGATAGTTAAGCATCTCTTCACAGGTGGAAGAAAATTTCTCTAACACTGCTCTTCCTAGGATTCTCCTCCTGGTCTAAAAACAAGCACACAGAGGCCAATGTGTCATGATACAGGGTATACCAGGCTTGGAATAAAGTAACTTGGTTTCTAATACAAGTCTTGCTACTAGCTAGCTATATAGCTGTTTTCTAAGATAGTTCTAGTTCTTAAGAAAATTAATTCATGCTTTTTAAAAAGTCATTGATGTAAAGGTTGGTTTAAGACCTTAAAAAACTGATAAAATGTTAAAAGTACAAAATTAACTAGTTTCCAGTGAGGTTTTCATCACATAATAAGAAGAGTACACAATAACTATTATTGGTACACATGGACTATCTAGGAATTCTCTGGTTACCATAAATCTAATTATGGCACAGAAATATGCATTCTTCCAGTGCTACTCCATTCCTAGCTACTGTCTCAAAATACTTAACATCAGCTCAGCAGGGGTTTGCTATAAATAGCTCATGTCTGTGACATAAAATATTAATTGCTCTCCCTTCCTCCTTTTTTTAAAACATACATCCATTTTTTAAATAAGACTGAAGGGGGGGGGACCAAAAAGAGATGGAAAATAAAAAGAAAGCATCATCAAATATTGGTTTAAAATGAAAAAGATGTTTACTACCAGTCATTTTACAACCACTTTAAACTATTTCCTTCAATTTATACTCAAGTGATTCTATAACAAAAAAGAAAGGTAAGCATACATTTTGTTTCCATTAAATTTGCCTACTAATTCTCACCTTAATAAACAAAGGGAGGCTGAGAAAGATAAGTGAAATATGAATCAAAAGGTTTTAAAAGCAGATGTAATGAAGATAAAAAATTGTATATCAATGTCTTAATCATATTACTGACTGCTGTTGCTTAGTGGGAGAAGCCAGGGCTGCCACCCAGTGGCAATGTAAAACTAAATGATTTAAAGTTTTAGAGAATTAAACAAACATTTAAAATAAAACACATTTTAAAAACACCAAAATCAAAAACCTCACGAATTAGATGACTTTAATTTTAACATCAATAATTCTGGTGTCTTGTATATAACATGTTAAAGAATAGAAATATTCATTTGCCTAGGCGGTATTAGGGACATTTTTCAAAATCTCGTATGACCTCCTACTGTTTACTAAGTTCTGTGGTTTTAGCAGGTGTTTTTAATTAAAACATTGACGGTTACCTTGCTTAAATTAAACCTCCAGAATTTATAATGGGGGGAAAGGTGTGACCATAAACTACAACTGGACAGAACCTACAACCTACAGAAGTAGATTCAATACTCTACAGTAGCCTCTCTGTGCACCCGAACTTCTGCTTGATAACCAAAAACATAATAGAAGGACCTGTAAAAATAAAATCCTAAAAATAATTTTTCCTAACCATTAGCTTTTCCTCGGGTATACATCAATTTGATTGTCCCAGTCAACAAAACTCAAAAGCTAAAAGATGAAAATGAAAATAGTATAAATATTATACCTGATAATTACTGATGTTTAGGAGGGGAGGGATGAGGGGGAGCCAAGTATCTCATTGCCTCCTACTTGCTCAAAATTTGGCCAGAGCTTTTTTCACACTGACAGAGATACAACATATTCAAATACAAGACACTCTGATAAAATAACACTGGGGAAAAAAATAACACTAGAGCCTCTATTTATAGTTTGAAAAGCTAAATATCTCAGAGACTGCTTTATTCTTTTGAATAACCAGATGAGAGAGAAGCACAAAAAAAAAAAAAAACTTAGGAATTTAGAGATTTTTGTTTCCAACAGCTGTAAATCTAAATTGTTCAAGGTATGTTTTCTAACCTGTCCCATGTGTTTTGCTTTACACTGAAGATGAATGAATTTTGAAAATAATAGCAGACACAACATACTTTATATTTACAGTGGCTTGTGACAAATACAATACCTGAAAATAATTTCCAATTTTCCATTTATTATTGCTATTTAGTCACAGAAAAGATTATCAACTCTCCAAGAAATGTATTTTAGCATATGCCATATATTGATATAACTGATATAATTTTATATGAAGACCATTGCAAAAGTAACTAAGGTGGTGCCCTTATAAGGAAATAAAGGAAAGGCAATAAAGAAATTTTTCCATATAAAGATTTCTGATCTGCATCATTTTTAAAATATAAAACCTTAATATTAGAAGCAAAGAGAAAAACAGCAAAGAAAACAATAAAACAGAAGACCAAAGATAAGAAATTGCTCTATGCAGATGCTTGGCATATGTAGTATATATGTATGAGCTGAATTATAATAAAAATACTTATATACTATATAGTCAATTCTCATATAGAGTTAGAGACAGCAACTTCCAGTCAAGGATGACTGGGCTGATATTTTCTCAGTCTTCAATTACATGACGAATTAAAACTGTGTAGCAGTCACTTCTGGTCAGCAGTATCATGATAAATGCTTGATAAGATACAATTTTTCTCCTTGTTCACTTGTAAAAATTGGTGCCTTTTTGTAATGTTCTACAAGTTCTTCCATGGTGCTGAATTTACGCTGCCCAATGCAGTAGACAGTCTCTTTTAGTTGGACTTTAAAATGTTTGTTTTTCCCTTGTGCTTTTAGTGATACTGAGAAATCATTTGGCTAAAAGAGAAAAAAACATGTCAGATAAGCATTTTGAAAGACATCTATTAGTATTTCTATATTAAACTAATAATAGCTAAAACTTGAGCACTAAGTATGAGGCACGATGCTAAATTATTTACATGAATTATCTATCTCCTTTATTCCTCAAAACAAACCCATTTTACAGTTGAAAAAAATCAAGGTTGAAGAGAACTAAGTTACCCAAGATCATCCATTAACAAAAGAGAGTTAAAAAAAAAGATCCAGGATTCAAATCTAAGAAGTCAGACTCCAAAGTCTCTTAACGAATACTCTCTACTTAATGCCCAGGGCAAATTCTTCAGTTTAACATCTCAAGTGTAAGAGCTATCTTCTCTCCATTCGGACTACTGGAGAAACACACGAGAAAGTCCAAGACATCTACCCCTTTCAATTAGTAGCTAACAGTAGCGGTCTTACAGAGTAGCTGACATAATAGTCTGAATTCTCAAAGATGAAGGACACAGAAATGAGAACTAATATAAATGCTAGTAAAAGGATATAAAGTCAAATGTCTACAAGGGGCAAAAAAGAAATGTAGGCAAGGGATAGGGTGGCTATGGGGAACAACAGTGCGTGGCCAGTCTAAAGGAGGTGGCTGGCCACTTAGCTAGCTGCAATTGTTGCCTTGCAGGAATATGGCTCAATGCTGACAGGCCTTCCAATTTTAAAAGGGAAGTCTGATGTCTAAATTTTTCTAATAAATATCCCAATATTTAAATGCTGATAATGAATTAAAATGTTTAAAAAACACTCTGCAGGTCAAAAAAAATGCCTATTTGAGACCTCTACTTTTAAAATTCTACTACTAAAAATAATGGTATATTTTGGTTAATATCTATGCTTAATTACCCACAAGAAAATATACAGTACTCTGTAACCAAGCTACTTCCTTAGTCTTCTTTTTTCTTAACCTAACATTCTTTTATATTGTTTATATCAACCACAGAAGTGTCTTATGCAGTACTGCCAAAGTTTCAAACAGTAGGTTTCCTGGAAACATCCTATACTAATGGTTATTAATCACCCACTCCAGGGTCACTGCCTTCCTAACCTCACCACCCACTGCTTGTCTTGGAAAGCAGGGTCAGGTCAGGCATCTAACAGAAAACAAATCCCACCCACTTCTCCCTGTCATCAAGCACCTGTTCTTCCTGAGGGGTTATGTACAGCCCTCCGTTCACTGAACTTCACATTGGGCAGTTCAATTAATTTCAATCTTGCCCTCTCTCCCTTCCTCTCTCCCCTACACGCACGCACGCACAGGTTTTCCTCTTTCAACCTTTTTGTACAATCACACATTCACTTTTGTACAACTACATATACACAAAGCCAGTACTAATTATGATTTTAAAAGTGGAAAGGAGTGATATCCTTTATCAAGGAAAGCTAAAGACCATTTTAAAGGGAAATGAATATCATCAAATTCTAATATCCTGGATAGAACCCAAGAGAGTCCACATAGCTACTTCCTTATTCAATTTTTATGGTTTTATAGTTTTACCAGTATTAGGACAGAATTTATCTTCTATTGCAGATGCACTTCAAATACAGTGCATGTTTAAATGGATTTCTGGGGTACATAATAAGTACACCCAAACAACCAATTTATACAGAAAACTCAAATATCAATTTTTTAAACTTATGGATTTCTGTTATTGTAAGGATGACAGTGCACCCAATATGCAATTGAAGAATGTTTTCCCAGTTTGGTCTGCTGCATTGTTCTACTCTCAGCAAAGAAGCCAGTGTTCGATTTTCTTCATTTTTCAGTTTAATGCAACAGAGAATATTTCAGGAAGGCAAAACCAGCTGAACTAGACAAGGCCAAATAATCCAGTGTGGGATTATACTTCAGTAAACATAAATACACCTGGAAAGAATATTGACTTTTGCTCAGAATATTTATGCTTATATCCCAACTTACTACCATCTGGTTAATTTTAGGAAAGCCACTTAACCTCTGCAATCTTCTATTTTTTTAATAGTCAGAGCTCTATTTCCATTTACCTTTGAAAACCAACTTACCGAAGATTCACTATCACGAATGAGGAAATCACCTTCGTGCCCTCTTTCATTTAATGCCATCTCTGCTTGGTGCCTGGTCACTTTCCCATAATACCATGGATTGCCAGCAAATTTTCCAGTGAGTGAAGGCCTAATGTAATCACACTGTGGAGGCGATGGTTCCAAACCTGAGGTTAAGGGATTATTCTGCATAATGGTAACATAGTTTTTTGGCACCAGACCAACCATTCCATTGATCTTCCTGCATTTCCACCACTCGGGGTCATTTTCAGGTTTTTCAATAACATCCATTATATCTCCTTTTTCAAAATTAAGCTCTTCATCGTTGGACGAGCTGAATGGGTAGAGCGCCTGTACCACGTGTAACACTTGCCCAGTATTTAGGTTATTGACGACTGCTGCTAATTTCTCTGACAAAGAACCCACATGGTCACCCAAAGGACTGTCCCCTTCCTCGGTTACATAGTTTGAAGGGAACCATCCAACTTGTCCATTGTAGCTACCCCGCCACCACCCATCACTGCATTTCTCCATGACGATCACCTTCGTTCCTTTTATCAATGATAATTCATCCTCTCTCTCGGCCATGTAGTTAAATTTCACATAAGCAGGCATGTTGAGGTCATAGAGACGTTCCCCTGGGTCAACAAAGCTATCATCAGCAGGAGACGCAGAATCTGGCACACTAGGCTTTCTTTTCACTTTTCCAATGCCTGTATAAATAAAAAGGGGTAATGAGAAGAGAATATAAAATGATAATCAAAACACCAACTTATTAATTATATAAAAATGGATCTCCAACTCTGTAATTCTTTTAAGCCTTTTAACTAAGGTAACAAATCCCTCCCTCCCTCGTTTTTTTCATTCTTTACATCCTCATGGCTTCTTCTTCTTCTTTTTTTAAATTTTTTTTATTGAGTTATAGTCATTTTACAAATGTTGTGTGAAATTCCAGTGTAGAGCACAATTTTCCCCTCATGGCTTCTTTATTTTATATAACTGGAGGTTTGTTCCTTCTGACCCCTTTCACAAATTCTTTCATAACCAAACACTTAACTACAGTTACTATACGACAGTTTACCTTTTTACCTTACCATCTTTTCTCGTGTCAAACGCCCTGAAATAATTGCATAACAATTATAAAGTTGCCCTAAATTAACGAATTTTCTCTTAAATGTAAATATAAGATTACTTCTCTCATATCTACAATCTAAGTACATAAAGGCTCCACCAAACCCATATTCTTGTCTTACTTCATTAACCAAGATTCTATAACTAGCTGTATAGAAATAAAACAGTAACTTAAATTACATCTTGATATGCAACATAAAATTGTAGCTATGTCTAGGTAATCCTCTCATTTACTTTCTTAGTCCCCTGACCCAGGATGCATTATTTACCTCACGTTTATTTTAAAATAATATACTGTTTACTTGCTTGTCTCCCTTCACCCGATTCACACATAAGCTCCACAAGGGCAGGGATTTTTGTTGACTGTGTTCATGAATTTAATCCCAAGGACCTCATATAGTGTTTAGTACACAGTAGATGCTTAATATATACTTGTTAAAAGAAATGAAAAAAAAATTACCAAATGATACTATTACAAATGTATGCTACATCAACTTTAGCCAGGCATTTTCACTGCTGCTTACTTCTTAACACAAGATTTTGTGTTCTACTTTTATTGAGAAAAGTAAGGCATTCCTAGGTAAAATTTCTCAAATACCTTCTATCTCAAAATTCTTTCTAATTACCCTTATTCTTTTTCTTCTCCCAAGTTTCCAACTTTTGACCCTTTTGGGTTCTGAATACCATCTTCCCTGCCTCTTTTTGGGACCCTTAGGCATCCTTGTTTCCCTCCCATTCATTCCTTTCTATTGTCTAAAAACACACGTAGATCACTTCTATTCCAAAATAAAGTTACACCAACTCTACTAATCCTTTTAAACGACACCATTCTTTAGAAAGCTGTCTTCCCTTTTTCTTTCATCTTTTTCACTACTCACTCGCTCACTCCCAACTCCTTATAATCTGGTCCTCTATCTCCACCAAAACTACTCAACTAAAACCATTCTTATGAAAGCTGTGTCATCTATTCATTGTCAAATCAGCTCCTATTAGAGCCCCTCAGTCTTTTCAAACTCTCTACACAGCAGTCAAGATCCCAGATTACTCTCTCCAACATTTTCTTCTTCTATAACTTTCCTGAGAGTCTCCTGTTTTCCCTACTGACCTGTTTAAATACTCGTGTTCCTCTGTCTAGGCTTCTCTAAATCTTGTTATAAAATTGCACTGTACTTGTTTACTCGCCCATCTTAATAAAAGAGTGAGATTCCTGGGGGCAGTAAACTGGATCTTACTGCCTTATATTTCCAGCACTTAGAAGTAACTATATTAGTAACAGGAACAAAGTGATTGTTTGCTGAAAAAATTAGTGAATGATCCCTTAGTTGAAAGTGCTTCCCAAGATGCCATGCTTGGACTTAAATTCCAGGGCTTTATCCCTCCAAAAGAGTAATTAATGAGTTGGTGAATACTGTTAAAATCAACTTTTGCAGAACTCCAGAATCTAGTAAAAAACTTACAAAAACTAGGGCAAGGCTTATATAAGAAAGAGACTGCTGCTCTGTAGTAAGAGAGAATTGTGGCATTTTAAGTTGCCTGCCTAACATCTTCCCAAATCAGTGGTGGCTGTGAGAACAGCAACCTGAACTCATAATGCCGAGACAGCAACACAGTTCCTATTCACAAAGATTTGTAATTGTGGGTTTCAACCTGTCTGGCAGCTACCTGAAGGACCAGCAACAATGGCTTGCCTTGATTTCGCTTGACTTGCAGCATCCCAATGGCTAGGGTGTCTTTTGCTGAAATCATTTAATTGATGCAGCAGCCTAGGGCAAGAAACAATAACTAGGACAAAGAACAGACTGAAAACTCTGGGAAGGAAAAGTTTGAGAAAGGATATACAGAGGGTAATAAGGGCTTTTAAAAGCCCCTGTGTATACCAGAAAATCACAAAAGCCACACACATAGCCAGAGCTGGGCACATGTTCAGCAAAGACCTAAGGAGACCCTAAGCTTTCACCTATGGCTGACCTTCAAGCTGTGAAAAAGCAGTATGTAAAGTCTACAGCATAGTTGTAAATGGCCTGGCTAAGTAAGCATTGAAAGAGTGTTCCTTTTTCCTTTTGGTTTCAGGTGTTTAAGAAAACTCTATCAAAACACTAGCTGACCACTAAGCAAACAGAACACAGATTTCAGTAGTCACACAATGACACAGATTTCACAAAATAGTTTAGAGAAGTCACTGAACAAGCAAACAAAACAACCCAGAATAAGAAGCAACAATAAACCATAGGTACAAGATAGAATCTGATGCTGAAAGAAAAAACTGCCAATCAAGAATTCTACATCCAGCAAAACATCCTGTAAAACTGAAGTCAAGACACTCTCAGATAAACAAAAACAGACGGAGTTTGTCACACTATACCTGTGATATCAAAAAAAAAAAAAAAGCTAAAGAGAGTCCTCCAGGTTGAAATGAAAGGACATTACACAGTAATTTGAAGTCATATGAAGAACAGTAGTAAAGGTAACTACATCTGTAAATATAAAAATGAGTAGTATTGTATTTTTAGCTTTTAAGTCCTCTTTCATTCCTATATGATTGAAGATGCAAATGAGCAGATTGTTGCATACTATTGAAGTTAAGTTTGTATTAATTCAAACTTGACTGTAAAAGTTAAGATGTTAATTGTAATCGACAGGATAATCACTAAGGAAAAACTAAATACATACTAAAAGAAATTAGAAGGGAACAAAATATACATCATTAAAAAATCAATTATAAAAGACAGTAATAATAGAAAGGAGGAGAAAAAAGGTATAAGACATTAAAAAAAACAGCAAAATAGCAAAAGGCATTCTTTATCAGTAATTTCTTTAAATGTTGGATTAACAGGCAAAGATTGGCAGAATGAATTAAAAACTACAATTCAATTCTATGCTATCTGTAACACACTCAACTTTAGATTTAAAGATGCAGACAGGTTTGAAAGTGAAAGGATTAAAAAAAAGATATTCCATGAAAACGGTAACCAAAAGAGAGCACATTTTAAGACAAAAGCTGCTGCAGGAGACAAAGAAGGACATTGTATGTTGAGGAAAAAAATAAATCTATCAAGAAGATATAACAATATAAATACATACACACCTAACAACAGAACCCAAAGACATATAATAAAGCAAAAAATGACAGAATTAAAAGCAGAAATTGACAGTTCTACAAGAGAGTTGGAACCAAACTCCTGCAGGTACCGAGGAACAAATGTACTATCCAAAGGAATGCTAATCAAAGTACCAACACCCCTTTTTTGCAGAAATGTAAAAATTTGATCATAAGCAAATGACACATGGAATTGCAAGGGACCCCAAATAGCCAGAACAATCTTGAAAATGGAAAACAAAGTTAGAGGACTCACACTTTCCAATTTCAAAACTTACTACAAAGCCACAGTAATCAAACCGAAAAGACAGTCTACGGATGGGAGAAAATATCTGCAAACAATGCAACTGACAAGGGCTTAATTTCCAGAATATACAAACAGCTCATACAACTCAATAACAACAACAACAAAAAAACCACCCAATCAAAATACAGGCAGAAGACCTACATAGACATTTCTCCAATGAAGGCACACAGATGGCCAATAGGTACATGAAAAATGCTCAATTATCACTAATTATCAGAGAAATGCAAATCAAAACTACAACGAGGTATCACCTCACACCAGTCAGAATGGCCATCATTAAAAAGTCCACAAACAATAAATGCTGGAGAGGATGTGGAAATAAGGGAACCCTCCTACACTGTTGGTGGGAATGTAGTTTGGTACAGCCATACAGAAAACAGTATGGAAATTTCTTAAAAAACTAAAAATAAGACCTTTTCCATTTCCATTCTTCTTTTATTGCTTAGTTTTTCACTTTCAAGAGATGACATGGATTTTTTTCTGGTTAACTGTATTCATGTTTCTTAACTGTTTTGCAACACTTTCTTACTTCAGTATTTCTGACCCCTCTTGAGGATTTACATGCACAACAAACTAATTTGGGAAAAGAAGGTGTTTAGGACTTGGTTCTGTAGTCGGTTCTCCACAAAATTTGAAAGTGAGGGAAATTATTACCCTCTTAGAGTTAAATTATAAAATCGATAAAGATATACAAGCTACTGAATCTGTACATCACCTTGGGTAGTACAGCCATTTTAACAATGTTGATTCTTCCAATCAAAGAACATGGATTCTAAAAATAGAGTTATCATATGATCCAGCAATCCCACTTCTGGGCATATTTCCAGATAAAACCTAACTCAAAAAGATACAAGCACCCCAATGTTCATAGCAACACTATTTACAATAGCCAAGACATGGAAGCAACCTAAATGCCCACTGACAGATGAATGGATAAAGAGGATGTGGTGACATACACACAATGGAATACTACTCAGCCATAAAAATGAAATAATGTAGTAACACAGTTGGACCTAGAGATTATCATATTAAGTGAAGTCAAACAAAGACAAATACCATATATCACTTATACATGGAATCTGAAAAAAAAAAGACACAAATGAACTTATTTACAAAACAGAAACAGACTCAAAGATACAGAAAACAAACTTAAGGTTACCGGGAGGAAAACAGGTGGA